GCCCCCCCCCCAGCAGCACACCAGATCCAAAGGTGAGCAGCTCGTGCTTGCTTGCTTGCTTGCTTCCTTGTTTGGTTTCGTCTCTGCATCGAAAACAACAGGAAAAGCAAATACAAAAAGAGAAAGGAGAACAGCTGCCAAAAGAAAGAAAGAAAGATAGATAGATAAATAGATAGGTATAGACAGATAGATGGATAGGCCAAAAAGCCAAAAGCCACAAAAGCCAGAAGCCACAGAAGCCAGAAGCCACAGAAGCCAGAAGCCAGAAGCCACGAAAAACAAAAAAAATCAAAAAAGAACCTAAAAAAACTCCAAAAATAAATACCTCCCTGAAGTATCTCAGGCGCCCCACTCCACTATTCCCCCCCGGTACCTGACCTTCGTTCTCGAGGTGCAGCGCAGCGGGAAAAACGGTTTCACCCCCACAAAGGCCGTCACCCAGGCTGGAGAGGTAGATGATGGCCTTGCTGAGTGGGTTTTAGCTGGACTCCTCCAGGCGCTCTGAACTGAACTGGATTCAGTTTTTTTTTTTTTTTGGGGGGGGTGGAATTCGGGCAAAGGAATCTTTGAAATCTTGAGGGCTTTGAGGTCCCACAGGTCACTTGCATTCAACTCCTGCCCCTCAACAGCCCTTCCACTGGTGGACGGTGAGATAAACATAGATAAACTAGTACAGTAAGCCATTGACTCACCAGTTTTTGCAAGCATGACCCGAAATGAATTACGATTCATGCATGAAATCAGTCAACCAAAGACTCTTATCCCGGTGGCACGAAGATGTGAGGCGATTGCTGCTTGCGTGCAAGGGCCGTGAGGTCCCCCCAAAAAGGGATCCTGCAGTTAATGTACTTATTGATCGTGAACGTTTTGTGACCAGCTGATGAAATATGTTTGAAATTTTGGGTGCGACAGGCCAAGGCACACCCTTTGAATGAACTGGGCCCTGTCATCCCCTGTCCATTCTTCTGCGGCACCACCAGCTTCTTCAAAGATGGAGTTTGCACGACTAAAAGTGCAATTAAACAACAAACTAACTCCTCATCCGGTGTCTAACGAATTCATCAGGAGTTAGAAACACCTTGCTTCAAAACGGGTGGCTTGGCATTTAGCTACAAGAACTCAGGAGTCTCAAATTCTCCAAACCCAACCACAGGTTCAGGTAGCGCGGCAGCCCTGCCTGAAGACTCCCGAAACACTTGGAAGCGCTCCCCCTCTCTCTCTCTCTCGTATGCTCTTCGTGTGCTCGTGTTCAGGTACAAAACTCTATAGACTCTACAATGCACGGTGTTCTGGGTCGACTGGACACTTTGATGCTTATGAACATTGCCCACCTCTCCCCAGCAGATCACATGCTGCATCCAAAGTGCGGTACAAAAGCGCCAGTGCGCTGCATTGGTATCGACCTGTAGGCAGGCAGAGACGAGTCTTCGTGCACTTGCAATTCCAGTGAATATCTATATAAATAGCACCTGTTTCTGTAAAGATTGACCCTCTTTCATAACATGCATGTTCATGGTCTCCCTCTTGGACGGACATCACCTCTGGAAGGGCTTGCGAACTCTGGTCATTATAGGGTTTGATGATCTTTGCATCGCTTGAAAATATCTCCTGTGACACCCATCTGGCTTGATCCCACTGAGAGGCTGACATGAAGTCCCAAATGCCCAGTCACGCCACCCTGTGAGGCCTGGCCGAGCCCCGCGAAATGTCGTGGAAAATGTCCCCAACTGTTCTTATATCACGTTACGTTTAGATCCATGTCGTTTCGTTGACATGAGTCCAAGATCAACTGGTTAGTTGTCTCCACCATCTTGACCTGATATCAACATGTCAGGGTCTATGTAGCATGAAGCTTGGATGAAGCTCAAGGCTTTGACGCCTTCTTTGCCTACAGCTGGCCCCTATGAAAAAAGAAACATGCTACAGAAGCTCTTTTCACGGAGCTCTACACACTTGGCACCTGTAGAAATCAATGACTACAGCTGCCAGAATTGCGGCAAACCTCTTTCAGTTCAGCTCGTGAAAAAGGGTTTGCAATAGAATAGGAATGAGCAGAGGATTTTGATGCACATCGTGCCTGAGCCTGGGGCGGCGTCAGCGTACCTTGGATGTGACGCAGAAAACGAGCCCCTTTAGATTTAGATCCTGCAACTTGGGCAATCTCCGAGGAGAACTGTAAATCATCTACTCTCACTCTATCTCTCTCAATTTTTCTCAGGCTCTCTACGGATCATGGAAGGCGCCATGGCCCATGTTTCACAAAACCTATACTGTATAAAATCAGTTTACACTATATATATATCTTTTTACATGCATGTTCTGCAGTTCTCTCTTGCAGCCCGTGTGAAACACAATTTGGTGTCCCTTCGAGTTCTCCGACCAAGCGTGGGACATCGTGGGACCAAATTCCATCCCAGGTACCCACCAGCGCCGTCTCATCCGGATGGATCGGCCCTCCGCTGACCTCCGCGACCTTCTCCTCAATCTTCAAAATCAGCGCCCGCCTCGGTTCAGCCGCTGGGGGCGGCCCAGCGAATTCGGAATACACATGTCACAGAAAGCAACTAAAATTGGAAGCCTCATGTCATTGATCCAATCTAGCGACGTTGCACTTGTAGCAACTTGTAGATCACAAAGTATTACTGTAGTTAAAGTAAACGTGCAACTTACTAGTAGCAAGAACGCTAATAGGAACAAAGGGCATCGCTACAAGGAGCAAGGACGCTACTACTGTAGTAACAAAGGTCATCCAACCTGATCATTCCTCACTCCTCCAGGGTGGGCACTGCTCCGGGCTCCAGCGAGCATCCTCCAGCTCCAGCGGCGCTCGGAGCTTCGTCTGGAAATTGCTCCGCTCTTTGCGCTGCAGAATCCTCAGCGATCCAAGGGGGGAAAAACAACCCCTTTGCCTTTGATACATGAAAACGACATCCATGATCATCATGTATGGAATATGGCTTCCAACAAATACCAGAATTGTAAACCATCAACATGACATCCTCTATCCATGCATGGGTTCGATGAAGGTTTGAAGCAACTGAGACACTTCTCTATAGATTTACTTATTTTGCCAAGCTTCATCTCAATGAGCATTCGACACTCGGCTGGGCTGAGAAACTTCCGCCTTAACGCATCAGGGGGGACGCGTTAAGCGGTTTGTCAAGCTTGAACCTACCATTGGGAAGTGGTTGAAATATGTATTGACACCATGAGGTCATTGACATGCAACTTCACAAAAGTATTCGAACCCCCAGAGGTTCCGAATGATCTAATGTTTCTGTGGGGTGTGCTTGTCCAGTCTGTGACAGCAACTTCCATGCAATGCTGAGGTGGGTGTTTCACCCTTGAAGCAAACCAAAAGTATCAAAAAGTCAACAAAAGCGTCACCACAAGCAAGAAACTTTCATGAACCTATCCACATCAACTACGGTAACATGTTAGAGAAACTGCCGCATCTAACAGGATATGGGTGGAACTGTGGACCCATTGTATACACGCACAATGATCCACAAAAATGGGGAAGGATTCTGAGCAGTGAATTTCTTACACTAGTTTGATGCACATCCATTTCTTCGGTTGCATTGCATGGGAGAACAAAACCCTGCAAAACACCCAAGAGCGAAGTCCAATACATCTTCAAAAGGAAATGCACTGTTCTAATCATATCCAAATATTTGTAACTTATTGGAGGCCCCACTGTAAATCAGTGGCTTCTGAATCGAGCCTCCTCAAGCTTCCATCGCACGTGGCCAGGTGGCTGGAGGAAGATCTTGGGCTTTCGCGAGATCAGCTCCAGGGGGCTTTCGACAAAGTCCTCTTCGCTGAGCTCCACCTCTGCGGCAAGGAGCTGCCAAGAAGGTGGCCAGTGCGGCTGGGAGCAGTGGAGAAGCTTGATCAGGAACTTGTCTAAATATGCCTAAATATTGCGGGCTCATGGTCTAATGATCAAATGATTATGAAGAAGCACAATTGATCTACTATTCCCTTGCAAGTTTGGCAACAGCAGGCTGCAACAGTTTGAGCGCTTCAAGGCAGTCTGAGGGTTTGGTTGCGATTGGTTGCGAGACGGTTCTGTGGCCTCCTTGTGGAAAGCAGGATGCCGCATGGCATATCCTCTAGGCGAAAATGCGATCGCGCCCAAATAAAATCAAATCACAGTTTATAGTTCTAGACACTAGACAGTGACCCAAATATACGTCTACACACACTACTTCAGGAGGAATATACTTCTTCTTCGTGCCAGTTCTGGCATGTTCTGGCACCATCATTTATGTGGATCAGTCGTGGTCGAATTAGGAAGCCCGTTTCGTGTGGCCACTGTGGACGGTCCATTATCACCCGTTTGGAGAACGAATGAGGTACCACAAGTGTTTTGCAATGTTTTGCAGGGGAAGGTTGCCTTCAAGAAGCAAAACCATGTATCCTAGTGGTGCATGGCATTGCTCAAGAAAGTCTAGCAGCGCAAAGGAAGCCAAACAACCCCGATGTTCAATGTTAATCTTGTAGAAAACCCAGTTTCATGCATGCTTCATGGTAAACAAATTGAACTCGAGCCATCAAGTTTAGGTTTAGGTGACAGGCGAAGACCCTACAGCAATCACGACTCCCCGAGCTACAGGTCCCTCCGTCCTTGGCTGACCACTGGGTTTACTGATCCATCCGTCTCGCAGGAACCTGTGCGGGCTTCCAACTTGAGGCAGTTCACAAGAGACAAGCCACTGCTACCCCTTCCTACTCAATCGACAATGTGTGTCTTTCCACGCGGCCAGTGTCATGCACTAACCCTCTGGACATATCTCTCCCTCGCGCCTACCGCCGTGTACTTCTCGCTGAAGTGCCGCTCCCAGTCTTTAAAGGCCTTGTCCACCGCCTGTCGCACCTGCGCGGTGGCAGGTGGACCGAAGACCCGCTGAAGACGGCCGCGGTCCGAAGAGTGGGACCGGAAGAACGCCAGCCGGGTTCTTGAAGAATCCATGAAGTCTCTTCGGAGACTTATGCCACGCATTAAGGAGCAAGGACGCTACTAGGGGCTCCTGGCCGTACTACTAGGAACAAGAAGCTACTAGAAGCTTGGGAGCAAAAACCCTGTTGCGTAGTGAGAATGCCGTAAGAGTCTGATTCAGTATATGGTAGTATAGCACACACATGGTACACAGCTACTTTCAGCCACTTGCCGCATCCCGCCATATCCCAGCCTCGCTGGGTGACATTACCTGCCTGAGGGAGGTGGCACTTTGGAGTACATGCTCGGCACCTTTAAGTAACACAATTGACACTGTTCGACTATACAATATACTATATCTTGGGTCTATCTCATTACCTGTAACCGTGGATGATGATTGTTAGTAGAGGCCTTGTCCAAAACAGTGATAATTGTTAACTGACTGTTACAGGTAATGGGACAGACCCAAACTATATCTAACTTGCTCATATGACTCCAAGACCATCCAAAAAAGGAACAACTCCAAACAACTCCTTCATACTTGTTCGTTGCTTCTTGCTTTGCTCCATGCTGGGTGAGGAATTGATCTAAGGCCAGCTGCATAGCTCCTCGCTTTGGTATCAGCAGGGAACAGCGGTTACACTGAAAGAACATGGTGTCCAGCGGAGACTCACCTGACTTTTTTGCATGTCAAAGAGTCAAAGGCCTCGTCGGCATCGAGTATTTAGACTTCCAGACCGAGGGCACACACTATCTTACGGGCACACCTTCCAAGGCGGATGGGATAGGAATTGTAGCCCTACAACTACTTGAAGGTATGGTCTTGTCGAGATTTGTCTCTTCAAACTACTCTTGAGAACACTTAGGCCCAATCCTTGCTCGGGATTATGGATTTCTAGAAGGAACAGTCAAGACTGTAAGACTTTACTGGGCTCGCAGGACTTGACAAAAGACACTGACGCACAAACAAACACCAGTTCAAGTCTTCTACCTGGCTTTCTGTCCCTCACTCTGCCCTCCATCCTCCCAAGCCCAGCTGCTCAAGCTTCCGCGTCAACGTCGTCAAATCCTCCAAGTCCCGCCGCCCCACATCGCAAAGCTCCACAGACATCGTGGAGAGCGACCGGGCACCTGACACATGAAAGCTGGAATGAATAGCCAGTGGTTGTTGTGTGCGCGCACTGGATGATCCATCGTATGTGTGAATTGCTTGTGGGGCTGCTTTCCAAGGAAGGCCCACCTCAAAACGATTCTTCATAATTCTTCATATATGAGTAATGGACAGAACCGGATGTTTTCGGAACCTATTGGAGATGGCCGTGGCCGGCCCCACGAACCCCCGTGACATTCCGAAGGAAGCGGGCCAACCCAAACCAAACAACATATATAGGTATATCATAATATATATATAGCACTATATATATATATATCAATTTCTTGCAGAAGCTGGCACATGGGTTCACTTTGACCACTACTTGTCAACAACGACTCGCACTGCCTATGCATAAATTCATCACTTGATTTTACTGACTGTACAGGTATGTCACTATATGATCTATGCGCAGATTCACCGAGAAAGCACTGGTCACTCCATCCGCATATCTCCGCCCGGAGCACACGGCCCACTGAGCATCCCGGCATTCGTGGCCAGCTAGTGCATGATAGGGTCCCGGGGGCGACCTCAGCAGACTGGGCCTCTGGACAAATATGTTAAATAATCGGCAAGCCTCATTTAGATTAAGGACCTCGTTTCAAGAAAAAGATGCAACACACACACACAAGTATCACTCGAATTCATTACCTGTATTGCACTTTATTCTGCCAGCACATTATGTAACATCCGTATTGAACAAATGCCATTTAAAGTAAAGAAATACAGCTGTACACACACAAAACAGGTGCTGGAAGTAAAAGAGTGAGTCAAGGAGGAAGCAACTCACTAGAAGTGGTTAAGACTCTTAAAGCCCCTTAGGGGAAGTCCCTGCTCTGCTCCCTTTAGAGATCTGGATGGTTGCAGCTTCTTAGATCCCCCCAGCCCCCTCCAAACTACACGCCAGCAGCCAGGCAGCCAGCCAACGAGTTTAGGCCAACCAAAGGTGGCAAAGAATGAACAGAAGTTGCTTCTTCTCTACCATGAAAAGGTCGGGGCTATGCTATCTTTTGGGAGGGTGTTGGGCAAATACGTCAATGCCAGTACCAGTCCCAAGCCAGGCTGCTTCCCATACAGATCCCTCCGGTGGCTCACATCGTAGACCTCGGTGGCGGACTGTCGAGTCTGCAAGGCTTGGGCTTTCTCAGCCGTTTTGAGCCGTGTCTCAGCCGTGTCTGAAACAACTTTGGTGCTGAAGACTCCTATAGCTTCTTGTTCCTAGTAGTAAGGCCAGGAGCCCCTAGTAGCGTCCTTGCTCCTAGTAGCGATGCCCTTTGCTCCTAGTAGCTTCTTGTTCCCCCTTTGGTCGCCTGTCCCGGTCAAGAATTCCGAGCCTTGCCATTGAAGCTGATGTAGATCTCATGCTTTGCTTCGCCATCATAGCGTGCAAGCTCTGCGGCCGTGAAGGCCGACATGGGCGCACAGCGCAGGCGCTCCGTAGTGCTGAAGGGTCTCAACAGCGTGACGATGGGTCATCTGAACATCCATGTGGTCTCGTGAAGGATTCTGTGGTTTTGTAAGGCTTTTTGTATGGGTTGGTTACGGTTGGTTCTGTTTTTTTCTCAACAGTTGTCAAACAAACAACTCAAATCTGATCGGTGTCCTTTACAGTTCTTTAATCACACTCCGTTCGACGTGCCAAACTCTCTTCCTGATTCTTCCTGCTCCGTGTGAACCGCGTTGGATCGGTCGTCGAAAAAAAGCGGGAGGAATCCAAATGTCTGATGGGGTGATTGATGTTCAAGTCCAGTTACTAACAGAAACCAAGGACTCCAGTGACCCCACAACGAACTGAAGAGCAAATCCACTCTGAAATGCTTGGGAACTCTCTTTCTAGCCAGTTTATGTCGGGGGCCAGATGTTGTAGGTAGTTGGGTGATTTACTCCAGCCTATCACTCCACGCTATTGTTGCTGTTAGCCGATTATTCATCTCCAGTTCATCCTTGGAATCATCTAAACGGATCGCAAAGCGGGTGACGAGCCTTGACTTGAGGAAACCTGAATTGGTGCCGGATGGCCATATCTTTGGACCAGCTCTGCGACTGCCAAACTCGTTCCTCCACACATCGCTTGGCGAACAGTGCTTCGTCACCCCCCAAAACAGCCCAATGCGCTTTGGCCAAAACCCTCATTCATGGCTACGTCCATTGGTTCGTGAAGTGTCCCGTCCAATCTCAAATCTACCGTTCACCCCTGAAAGAAAGCCGCCAGCAAAAAGCCCCAGCTGTTCACCATACCTGGAGCCGTCTGAATGGCTCAAGGCTTGGTCTCATTGGCTTCACAGGCTTTTTGCCCCTAACCCCCTCGAAGTCGCCGGGCTTTTCCAAACAGAAGCTGACGAGCAATGAGCTGACCTGTCAAAGGGCTGAAAGGGATGGAACACCAGGGACTAGGATTGACTACGAAGGATGCAGCACTTGGGTGCCTAGATCACTCCATTTCATCACATCCTCATAGCCAATAGTCCTATGGGGTATATGGTATATGTGTTTGTTTTGTGTATGAATGGATCTGTGCAGCATGAATCCTTACCCACACCAAATGCATTTTTTGTACATACATACCAGTCAAGTTGTGTAGTTGCGGTTGAATGACCTTTGCATACCTTTGGGGATAAGCCATGCTGCCTCTGTGCAAGTGCTAGCTCTAAGGAGTCTCAGATATATGCGTGTTATTGCAAATGGGTTATCATCCACCAAATGAACCTGTCCATGCGGTTCAGTTCTGGCGACTCGGATCCGAAATTCATGGAGCTCTTACTTATTACACCAAGATCCAGCAAGTGATCAGAGTTCTTCTGGGAAATGCATTTTTCTTGTTCTTCCCGCTAAGTTATTTTGTCGCGCAAACAGTGTTCCCCGCCAGTTTTTTGGGTCTGATTTATATTTATATATATATATATAACTGTCCGTGGAATCGCAACATCATACTGGCGGGGGGGTTCCCCAAAAGGGTATATGAGACGCGACCCTCTTGCACTCAACTTGACCTCACAACAAGGTGAAGCTTCCTCCTCCGATTTCGCCGGTGTCATCACCCTCAATGGCTCCATGTCTAATCTTTTTCTGCAACACGCACGTGCCAGGTGGCACTCTATCACCTCCATGGGTCTTGGACCCTCGAGGCATAGCGTTTCCATGCATGATTCCACCTGGCCAGATCCATCGGCGTGCAAGTGGGCCCCCCTGTTGCTCCCCAAGCCTTTGAGATGCCTTGAATATTCCTCTTGATTTCTCATCTTCTTTTGTTTTTGCGGCCATGTGAAAGCAACCTGCTACTGCAAATGACTGCATTATCAGCTGCCAGCTTACCGCAGCTGGTAAATCTGGAGCCTCCGACTAAATCAGCCCGCAGAGTCAAAGCTTAAGCAAAGCACGGATTGCACATGGTCACATCCATATCTATAAATATCCGTGGTGAACCTCCTTGCCCATGGCTGATATGGCTGTGGGTCATGAGATGTCATGACACCCCACAACTGCTGGGGATGGAGACCTATGGCATCTGCATCGACCATCTGCGCGTGACTTACACCATGTCCCCACGATCACAAACCTTGATCTTTAGCAATCTTTAGTGAGGACCTTGGTGTAACATTCTACAAAACCTTCTATAACACCTTCTAAACCCCTCCCCATGACCTCAGAAGGGCCTCCACCATCCTTTACCATCTTCACCTGGACGTATCTATTTCATCGAGATCTTCGTCAGGTCTCCATGATTTGCTTGCTCGCAAATGGCGGACAATGGGTGGCTACGGTATCTTTGTTGCAGGAATGGAAAGCTGAGGGCACCTACTCCACTTGAAAACAACCTGTCTCAACAATGTAATATATATACTTGAGGCCAAGGGGGGGGCGAAAGCTAGCGCTCCAGAATGGGAAAGTGGAGGGCAGCGAGGTAGGAAAAAACACGGCGCTCTTTTTGGAGGCAGGGGTGAAGAGTCCTTTATATGTGGCTCTTTGCCCGGATCCTCCTGCGAGAGAAGAGAGAGAAGAGAGACGGAAAGACGAGAGACAGAGAGGAGAGAGAGAGAGAGAG